GCAGATAGATGTTCTTTACTTTTTTTAAAGATTTATTTATTGATTATAATTTATTTATTGATTAATTAATTTATTGATTTATTTATTGATTATAGAGAAAGAGAGTGTGTGCGTGTGAGCAGGGGGAGGGTCTGAGGGAGAGAATCTTAAGCAGACTCCCCACTGAGCCGGGAGGCTGCCACAGTGGGACTTGATCTCATGACCCTGAGATCATGACCTGAGCTGAAATCAAGAGTTGGATGCTTAACGGACTGAGCCACCCAGGCGCCCCCAGATGTTCTTTACTTTTTTTTTTTTAAAGATTTTATTTATTTTATTTATTTGAGAGAGAGAGAATGAGAGAGAGAGAGCAGATGAGAGGGGGGAGGGTCAGAGGGAGAAGCAGACTCCCTGCTGAGCAGGGAGCCCGATGCGGGACTCGATCCAGGGACTCCAGGATCATGACCCGAGCCGAAGGCAGTCGCTTAACCAACTGAGCGCCCAGGCGCCCTATTCTTTACTTTTGTGTGTGCACCGTGGGATGCCTTTGGCATTCTAGTGAAGTTAATGAATTCCTTTTCGAATAATGTTTAATGCATAAAATTAAATGCCTAAACTTAAATGCATAAAATTAGAATGCATAGGATTACAAAGTAAGCCAATTATACTGATATACAGTTATCCATATACCAAAAAATGTGTAATACTATAATATATATCCTTTATTAATGCTTTACATATCAAGAACTAGTGGCAGGTGTAGTAATAACTCTAATTTTGAAGTAGTGATGAGTGGAAAAGATACTTTGAGATATTTTCAATAGCTGTAATGTGATATGAAGATATCTTTGATTTCTACTGTGACAAGTCACAGGTATGGCTACTTTTGCTGTGGATTGTTGCATACATTTGTAATGGAAGGGAATGCTCAATTTCAGTTGGAGGTTAGTAAAAATTAAAACGAAATTTTCCCCCACCCCCGTGTTCAGTTCTGTCCGAGATCCTCAGAAACCCCTTGCCTTAAAACTTCACCCTTGGGGTGCCTGGGTGGCTCAGTTGGTTGAGCGTCTGACTCTTGATTTTGGTGCAGGTCTTGATCTCAGGGTCCTGGGCTCCAGCGCTCTGTAGGGCTCCTCACAGGGAGCCTGCTTCAGGCTTTTCTCTCCCTTGTCCCTCTCCCCACTTGCTCATACTCTCTCTCTCTCTCTCAAATAAATAACAAGTCTTAAAAAAAACAAACAAACCCAAACTTCACCCTTTACTATTATGCCGTGTGCTCTCCGGGCAAACCCATTTGTGCCCTGTTGCTGTCCTCCAACTGCAGTCCTTCATCCTTTCTGTGCAGTGTCTGCTAGTTGTGTACCTTCTGTACAGGCCGGAAAGTGGAGCGCCAGACCTATATCTCCTGCACGCCCACCCTGGCTGGCCCGCGGGACCTCCCGCTCTGCCTCCAAAGTCCAACTCCTGGGCTTGGCTACGCCATCCCTCTTCCTCCCACCAGCCTGCTCCTCCTCCCGTGTTCCCAGCTCTGTGGACGGTCTCAACAACCTCCATGTGGCTCAGGCCCCGAACCTAGCTTACACAAGAGAACTAGCGAGCATCCCTGCTGCCTACATTACAGCCCCAGCCTCCTTGGTGTAACGCTTGGGAAAGTGTAAGCTTGTACATTTGAAAGCACTGGTCTGCCCTGCCCTTTGCCTGGAATGTCTTCTTAATTTCTACTCACTCTACAAGGCCTGGCTCCTTACTTAGCTTTCCAACATGCACATCTGGTCACTTTCTGGTTTAAACTCTCTGGGATGCCTCTTTGCCTCCGTGAAATTGACATCAGAGGGCTCCGGCCTCCCTTGCAGCGTTTTCTTCTGCTCCCTGTGGTCCCTCCAGTGGCCCATTCCCCATTTCCAAACTCTTTGCCTTGGAAGGCTGAGTGGGTGTGCCCTCTGCCTGGGGATCCCTTACCTGCCATGTAGTCTTCTGGTCTCAGTTAAGCGGCTGCTTTGGCTGCGAAGCCTTTCCCACTCTGCGCCATCATGAGGACTGTCTACGGAGCAGTTCTCCTCTCCCATCTGCCCCTCCCCAGAGTCTGGCAGGGTTTCCCAAGTGGTATGCACTCGGGAGGACGGAATTATTAAAGTACATGGTTAGGAGCACATACCTCAGAGCCAAACAGCTTGCATTCTCATCCAGGCTCCACCGCTAGCTCTTTGGCAAGTACTGACCCTTTAGTGGCCTCAGTTTTCCCATCTGTAAAATGTATAATAAGACAGTAGTGAGATTTAAATGAGTTACTACTTGTGAAGCGGTTTAGAACCATGTCCACCATTTAAGCTCTTGTAGCTGCTATTATTATTAGTTTTAGTTTCAGTAGTGTGACTTGGGTTTATTTAAAAGTCACATCCTACTATACTTTTATTTTTTCTTGAGTTTATTTCTCTAGTGTAATTTAAAACCCAGTATTTAACTATTCTTCATCTCCATTGAGGTTGATATTGTATATTGGTTGGTTTTTTTTTAAAGATTTTTATTTATTTAAGAGAGAGAGAGTGAGAGAGAGCATGAGAGGAGAGAGGGTCTCAGAGGGAGAAGCAGACTCCCCGCTGAGCAGGGAGCCAGATGTGGGACTCGATCCTGGGACTCCAGGATCATGACCTGAGCTGAAGGCAGTCACTTAACAACTGAGCCACCCAGGCACCCTGTACGTTGATTGTTGGCAGAAATAATTTATATGAGACAAAAGGAAATACTTGTGACAGAGAGGCAGGAAAAATCTTAGGGATACAGCCTTTTAATAGAGTGATGGGCACCATCCCAACAGTACTTAGCTAGTTGAGTTGGGGGTTTAAATCTTAGGGATACAGCCTTTTAATAGACTGATGGGCACCATCCCATCAGTACTTAGCTAGTTGAGTTGGGGGTTTATCCATATTTCTTCCATTTCAGAGATGATGTTGACCTTGCGGGCATTTTTCTCGCAGCTTTTTGAGTAAAGGAGTGATGAATACTACTTATCAGAGGATTTTTCTGGGAATGTAAATCATCGTAGATGTTTGCAAACCAGATCCACAAAAAGAGATGGTTTTCAGTGTAATTATTATTTTTTTTTTTGCATGAGTGTTTTCATATCCTTAAGAAATATTCTGTGCTCGTGGGGGGAAAAACTTTCCATGACCCTTACCACACATTGTATGTGACATTAGTGTACTCTTATAACGGACCCTTTTCTGCTTTTTTGTTTTTCTTCCAGCAGGAGAGTTACATTTCCCGAGGTTTAACTGTTCTAGCCTTTTCTCGGTTTTGCCACCAGGTGGGGTGCTGGCTCCTTTTTAAGGCAAGGGCCTCTTAAACATCGTTTTCTCACTGAGGTGACTGTCTTAACCCTATCATTCTAAAGTGACCCATGCGAAAATGTTGAGCCCTGACCTGGATGTGGGTGGGGAGGCAGGTGGGGCATGTGTGAGATCTCAGGGAGTCCCCAGGGTTTTCATGCCTGATCTTGTGATGCTTATATGCTAATGGCTTAAGTTTCACAGGTTTTGGGTAACTTGATTTTGCCAGCAATACATGTAAATCTTGTTTGGCAGCAAGTGAATCGAGTTTTCCTGGAATATTTGGTCCGATCTTTTGGTTTAGAAACAACAGAGTCAGGTAATCTTGACCATTATGTTAAATAAGTCTTCTTTAAATAAAGTAGAAATCATGGAAGCAAGCCATGACAATAAAAACTGTCCTTGGAGTTGAAAACTAGGGGCAAACTGTGTGTATGGTACTGTGAACACATTACGTTAAAAATCAGAGCGTGGATTTTCATTATTTCTTGAGCAATGTGCTGGGACATTATGGACTGTTTTAAGATCTAAATGCCTTAAGGAAATTATCAATTGCATATTTCTAGAATGAGAAATAAAATTTAAATTTCTTAGTTTGAAACATGGAGAGTCATATTCAGTTCCATTTTAAACCATTAAAAACCATAATACTACCAAAGAATCTTTTATCTTATATATATAACCAGAATGTAGATGGTGAAACTGAATTATGAGTGATTTTTAGATTTACAGACACCAAGTCAGAATCATAAGTTAGAAAGATCCTCGGGTGGTAGCTACACTTGTGGTGAACATAGCATGCTGTATAGAAATATTGAATCACTATGCTGTACACTTTTTTTTTTTTTTAAAGATTTTATCCATTCATTTGACAGAGAGAGGGAGAGAGCACAAGCAGGGGGAGCTGCAGGCAGAGGGAGAGGGAGAAGCAGGCTCCCTGCCAAGCAGGGAGCCTGATGCGGGACTCGATCCCAGGACCCTGAGATCATGACCCGAAGGCAGACGGCTCAACCGACTGAGCCACCCAGGCGCCCCTATGCTATACACTTCTAACTAATGTAACATTGTGCGTTAACTATACTCAAAAAAAAAAAAACTTAGAAAGTTCTTTAATAAATATTCCTTTTGAACTTAAGTTGATTTTTAGACTTTAGAAATTAATGAGATTTTAGGCTTAATTAAGGCTATCCCCATCCCCTCCACAATCTGAAAACAGTATGTGACTTTGATTCTCTCAGAAATAGTAACTTCATATGTCCCTCTTATGTAAAGTGAAATTGCCGTGCTGTATCACCACCACTTAACCACTTGGGCAACATTGTAAAATTCATTTCATGGCTCTCATGGGGGCGGGGTGGGGGGAGACTGTATTCCTTCTATTTAAAATGAATGAGTCACTTTAATACGGTATCTAAGGAGTGAGAGAGGAGTGAGGGGGTTCTCTTTAAGTTTGTGTGTTATGGTTTTCTTAGGCAGCAAGTTCAAAAATGAAGCCTGGAGCCTTTGCTCAATTGTGTATGTGGGTTTTATTTCTCACTGCAGCTCAGTGTCTATTTAACATATGGGAGTGGTTTCAAGTTCATTACTAAAGCTTATAGGCTAAAGTGCTTTGTGGGCTTGGCTAGGACTTAAGTTGCCAAGTTGGGAACAAACTGCTTTTCTTGTGCATGTGGATTCCCTGGGTAGTCCATTTCCTCCCCTCTGGGCTATCAGCTGCTTTGGAGATTAGTTTCATAGTAAAGATTCTTTCTGTAGAGCAGTATGAAGCGACTACTTTCACAGGGGCACCAGGTTAGTAAATCACATTTTGAACTTTCTGCTGCATGTGTCCGATTTTCTTTCTGTACTCCCGGGCGATATGACACTCTGCATAGCATTTGTGTCGTTGCTGTGTTCTTTTAGAATATAATGTGAGTTCGTTAATCCTGGGGAGTGTTTGGAGGTTACGATTCTCTATATAATATATGCATTGTTTGACAATATTAAGGGCACATGGAAGCTAGGATGAAATGGCATATGTGTGTTGGATTTGTAGTCTAGAGATTTGTACTCCTTTGTAAGCATTTTCAGTTCCTTTTTCCAAAATTCCTTTCTTTGTGTCCTCCCATTAAATCTTCTAGGCATAACTGTGATTTTATACACGGTTGATGGTAGTTTTCTTGAACCTTAGGCAGCCGTGTGTTGCCGGTCCAGCTAGCTGCCTTACACCCTTGTGTATGATGGCCTGATACATGGTTTTCCCTTGGGCCTACTTCTCATAGTTACAGTGAACCAGAATATCATTGTAATTTTCTCTTTGAAAAGTCTGGCATTTTTCTAGAATGCCTCATAAAATACCCGAATAACTATTGATGTGGGCAGAGCGTTACAGGTGGATCAAGCTAGACTGAAACCCTCCCTTATTTGTCACTGTTTTTATTCTTATGTAATTCCTCGGAATCTGAGACTACTTTTGGAGTAAATCTAACAGTGGAATGTGCCTTGTAAAACATAGAAGTATTGCTAAAATGAAATTCAGTGAATAACATGAAGTGCCAAGAGAGTATCTTCTTTAATTTTATTAGAGACCTAGAGAGCAGTTTTACCTTTATTAATTTGTCACCAAAGCAACCCAGCATGAACTTGTTCTGCAAGAGTAGTTAAATTGGATGATGTTTGGAAGTTTGTCACGCTCTATGAAATATTCTTCTTTTTATTTTAAGTATGCTTTAGTTCGAGGTAATGTACTTGTATTTTTTAAATAATGCAGATAGGCTTCTGTTATTGCTGTTTTATTATTGCCCCTTTTTACCCCCACTGGGAAATACAATGTATTAGAAAGGATCTGTTCTTCCGTGTTAAAAAAAATAAAATTGAGGAAAAAGAGAGACAAAAAGGAACTTTCAAAAAATCTTTGAGGACCTCAGTTCCTTAAGGATCGCAGTTTCCGTATCTGCTGAGGCTGAAGTTGTAAAGTTAGGACTGCATGCCATTTCAGGATTACAAAATTGACTGTACTTTATACCCTGAGACACAATGGTCCAGTTATATTATTGCCCCTTCCTCTGCAGATTTTTTTTTTTTTTTTTTTTT